ATTGCTCTTGTACCGATAGCTCCTCCTGATGCTGCGTTGTAGTGTAAACATAGAGCCCCCCCCCCCCCAAATTGACCAATTATAACGTTTGACATTATATTACTGTTCCATAAATATGTCTGTCGGTGAAGGGACTAACCCAAAACTTCTCGCATACATCAAGTATGTTGCTGCTCGACCACTCACGCGGCGCAACAGTTCTGAAGCATGGATACAAATGCACACTTCGGCGGATGCTCTCCACTGCAATAACAGCACCAGTCTGCGTTCCATCAGCGTTGGTCATAGGCGTCACCTTGTACATGCCATGCTGGGGATCTGGCTGCGTGAAGTTGGAGAACCACTCCACATATGCGAGATATTCTGGAGGGTCTACAAAGGGAAGTAGGATTCTTCGATAGCGTATAGGAATGGTGAATATTGCCCAAACACGGCAGACCTGATAGCCTACGGTTGGGATCTTGTTAGCCAATATGTGTAGTACTTCAAGGTGTAGCAACATACCCTCAACGCCAATAGCACTTCCTGTACCCAGATTTACAATAGCCGTGTCAAAACGGCCAGCAACTTGCTGGCCGCGCTTATTCAGTCGTCCACCTGGGGTTGCGTAAATGGCATCGTACTCATCTGATGCCTGCCGATAGAGGAGAAAGTCGCTCTCCCAAAATTTAGCCTTGTGGTAAACCGGCAGTTTATGGAATGGTAAACGAAGAGTAGTGGCGAGACGAACAACTTCTGCACTGGAAGCATCCGGGTAATTGAGACGTACGATGTACTTTGCAATTGCTCGCATGATGTATTTGGCACCATACATCTGTTCGAGACGATCCAGCGATACGGCCTTGACTGATGGCTCCCGTGTCATGAGAAAATGGCTGGCTTGGTGCTTGTGCAAGACGTTTGCTAGCTTGAGCGATGGCTGGCTGTCCTTGAGCCATTTGATGTACCGATCATGCCGGAGAACCTTCTCCTTACGCTCGAGCCATACTGTCATCTGCTCGTACTAGTCTTTCTTGTTCGTAGAGCGGTAGGCGTCCTTTGCGAGGTCAATGTGGAGGCGTTCAGTGTATTCCGTGTTGAAGTTTGGAGTCATTCCGAGCATCTCAATACCTTCGTGATAGTGCCGCATCGAGTGGACCTTCGGAAGATTAAAATCGCCTCAGATGTCAAGATCTATAAACACCTGTTTGTTCTCATGAAACCGCCGCAGGGCGTCATCAAGGGCATCAAGGGACTGGTGGCTATGCACCGGGTACTGTGCAAGGTAGACGAAGTCGAGGATTGCCCGGACAGCGCGGACAAGACGTAGGTGGGACATGCCATTTGGAAGGCGCAGATCAATTACAAGGCCCAGCAAAATGCAGCAGATGTCGGCGTGCTCCCGACCTGTGAGCTGTGACAGCTTGGTGATGCCTTTGTAGAACAGGCGCATGTTGTGGTTTGGTGGAAACCGTTGGCACCGGGCATCGATCTCGTCCTCTCAATATGCCTCCTTGGCCCAGGCGACAAGATGCTTTACACACCCTGTAGGAGTTGATGTAGGATGTCCAGGGTGACAGACGTGTAGACATCGGAGTATGGGAGGCTCTGCCAAAATGTTTCGTACACAGGCTTGATTCCTGCATTGCGGCACGCTGCCTTGTACTCGGTGGGTGTTACATTGGGATCTGATCCCATGGCAAGAACGTCAAGGACAGGATTCAGCTCACGCCGTGGTAGCGGAAGGGGGAAGTGGCAATCGAGTTCGCCAAGCTCTGCCTTTGGCGTAGGACATACAGGGCATTCGCCAGTCTTTGTACAGGTTACGAGCACCTGTTCAGGGTAATCACCAACATATGCCGCATAAATTGGATGGACACGCCGCATCACGCCATCTCCAGAGGACATCGGCAGGCCACCCAGGCCAAGGTCCTCAAGCAGCTCGAGAAGCCGGCACATGCAGAGATGGAATAAATTTGCTTGTGTGCAGCGCCTAGCTGCTTGTTCTTGATGTGCTCGAGCTTCAATACTGGCAGGTATGCCAGGAGAATCTG